ATGGTTAAAAGGGAGGGACCACATTTTTTCGCCTTCAAGACCACCAAAACCTCAGATAATATGCAGGTACAATGATAGGCCTGTCTGGGTTTTCTAAAGGGACCTAAAATATTCATGATTTTGCAGTTCAAGGGATGCTGAGCTAAGACTTCAGTGCCAACCTCTGGGCACCAGCCAAAACATTAGAGCGACCTCATCACCTTTTCACACACAAGCTTTCAATTAAACCAGAGAAGCATGGTCTACTGCACCAGGGAGTTAGGGGGGTTTAGTCTAGGCTTAACCACTAATGTCTTACTAAGTGTAGACTTTCCAACATAAAGATTATACCTGACAATGTTATGGGAAAGGTTAAAGTCAAACTGGCAAGACATACTCAAACCATATGGTAAAGCTGGGTTAGCGTTTAGGGCTGTGCATTCAATCAAATTTTAAACAAAATAATAATGATTCAGTGGTTTAATAGAGGGGTCTCCAGTCAATCCAGCCTAACCTGGCAAATGTCAGATTGATATGTGTAACTCTCTGGAATGAGTTCTACACATTTAGCAATCTCGAATGGCTCTCAATTGAAAGCAATTTGGAAAAGCAGGAAAAGCTGATTAAGCATCACAGTGTGTCACAACACCGGAGCAAGCAGAGAAATCAAACTTTTGGTAAATCTTTACAATCCACAAATGCACAAAATATTTAACCTTTGCATGTTTTCTTTTTTCAAATCAAAATGATACATGCATAATGGTAATAGGCATTTAATTCATCAAATTAGACTTATTAAGCACAGTATGTGTAATTCAGAAGTCCCTTGGCGAGCTACTTGGAAGGGGGTGGAGCACCAGTAGCTCACGAACTATAGGTTACTGACCCCTGGTAATAATAATATCCTTTTCCATTTGATTAATCTAATTTCTGCATTCCCTGTAACCCCATTTGCTGTGCAGTTAAAGGCATCAGTATTGACTGGTAACTGCATTGATTTGTTACTGTTACACTGAAATCTATCAATACAAGTTTTGTACATATTCGTTTCATCTTTGCTCTTGTAAATGCCCCTTCAAATTAATATGCACCACACTAAAAACAACTAGCTGATAGTGTCTAGAGGGTTATAATCAAACTAATGGGGGTTGTAATATTTCCCTTGGGTTCTAACTGCTCTGCTGCTTTAGCCCTGATACATACAGAGATATGGCCACAGGCTGCCGATGTAGTGATGCTAATTATATATGGCAAAACAGAGCTGTCAGGCAGTTGGCCTCTTTAACAGCTAATCACCCGTTTTTCCACCATCAGCTTCACAAATGACCTAGAAACACCAACCAAAAGTCAACATGCTTTCACTCTCACTGTGCAGACACGATAATAATCACACTGCTACTTTAGTGAGTTTTTGCAATAAATATAAAGCTGGTGCAAAATTTTACTTTAAGGATTTTTTCTTCTTGAATTGTATGTTTATAAATACAGTTCTTGTTTAGTTTGCTCTGCTAAAACCTTTCCAGAAAATTGCCAGTTACCTGAATTTATATGGAGAAAGTGACGTTAGCAAACAGAAGACACATTAAATGTCACACTCTGTGGCCATTTTATTGGGGGAAGACGTCTGGTGTAATAATAATAATAAAAATAAAAAAAACTCCCAAAACATGACTTGCTTGCTGTGGCCAGAAAATGGTGCTACCTTTTAATGGAAGTCTCCATCTGCCTTTGTACAGTCATTTCTCCCTGACAAAAACAGACTGGTACCACACCAAACTCTAAAAAATGATTCTCTGTCAGTATTTCCAGGATGTGGATAAAAATATAAACATAAAAACATAAAACACGGCCTCATAGTTACACAATGTTCTTTTATAACAACTGTGGGACTGTACAGCACTTTCCTTTACTACAGCAACAAAATTTTACGAAACGAACAGCCCTTTCTGTAAAAGTCAACCAATAAAATGGGATTTCCACTCATTTTAATAGTCACAAACCACAACAAAGAGTATTTAATGGTGAAACTCGGCTATAAGCAGTTCCTACCCATACTGCACCAGTAATGCTGGTATGGTACACTGATAAATCTAAACTTATCCACAAAACAAGTCAAGATGGGTGATGTAATGTCTACACAAAGTAATATACAGTTTGTTTGTTTGTTTTTGAAGGTATACAGACTATTAAAGGTGCATTGTGTAGCTTTTCTGGTGGAAGGTCAGTTAAATACTTTTCTCCCTGAAGATGTTATTGCTTTGTCATGAAGTTTTCAAGGCTTCATGGAGACTAAACCAGACCAAGTTACAGGTCAGATCTTACAATCAGAATGTCTGTTTTTCTTGATATTTTTGAGCAATAAAACCAATTGTAATTGAATAAATGTAAGGTAGAGTTGCTCAGTGTCATACTGTGGAACATTCCAGGCAGAGCAATGGCACACCCAGAGAAAGAAGCAGGTGACAGACGCCTAACCAAAACCTCTAAAACAGACACTAAAAGATAAACACAACAGATTTTTTAATTTTTTTTTTATTTTAGCACATCTCCGTTTGATTGCAACAATATGATCTGCTTATAATTAACAGCAGATATAGAGAATGTATTGACTAAGAAACCAAGAGAGAACACAAGTTAATTATAATACCACAAATTTAATTTCTTAATTTAATTTCTTAATAAATGTTAATTAAATAATAATAAATGTTAACAGCCTGAATCACAGTGTCCATAACTTTTCACCTATGAGGTTTCAATGCGATCTGTCAACACTCCACCTCCACCTGGTTAAGTATTAATCTTGTAATAGGACATTAAACAGAACACTGGAACTTTATCACCTTGTACAGTACATGCCCATTGTACATTAAAAAAAAACTAAAAAAAAACACAAGGCTGGATGTTGTTATTATGCTACTCCTAAGCCTGGATAACTGGTGAAAGTTTTACAAAGAGGATACTGCATAGGAGGCTAAAAAGTAACAAAGCAAAAATTCTGTTTATCTTTTATAATGCATGAAATAGGGGTGTCACAATATAAAAATACTAATATTAGGGCTGCAAGACTGATGAGCAAATCGAAAGACTGACATTTCTGAAGTACCATAATTTCCCCACAAACGACAAAATATTCTGTCATATTCTGCATACTGCTATGCTCCTACTGCTGTAGTTTAGATCTGTATGAACATGCCCCTTAATGCGATTCTTGTATTAGGGTTGTCAGTTCACATTTCAGTCTTTTTGTCAGTTCTTCTGGGCGTGTGAGCTTTGATAAGAACTGTTTTATTAAACATAAATCACAAATCAAATCGGAAGGCTTGTCAGAAAAATAGCAAATGGATATTTTTCTCAAATTGTTCAGCCCTAAGTAATATGATTATTATGAGAAAAAACATCAAATACGACATATAGCCAGATAAGGCACTTAACGGATTTCTTTTTTGGAAGAGACTGATCTGAAATAACTACATTTTTGCTTCTGAAACTCTCATCAATATTAGGCTTTAGTTCTTAGTTAGTTATAGTTATGTTGAGACCTGTATACTCATGATTAGCAGTTAACTGATTAATCTTCATCCCTAGCATCAATTAACACTTGACAGACTGGATCATAAATCCTTATCTAAATCCCAATGAGACCTCTACTTGACCATATCGCTGCCTGCTTGCCAGTAAAACGCTGTGTCCAGGAGCTTTGGGCATGCATCTCTTTGTGTAAGAACACACATGGTTTAATCCGCCCCACACAGGATAATAGTGTTTTTGGACAGTGGCACACAGCCTCCCTCCTGCTCCAATCCTAATACGCTCTGATCATCTTTGGTCTCAAAACAGCTGGATAAACCAGTAACAATGGAGACTTTGAATGAGAAAAGTTAGTAATTTAATTGTGTATTTTCTAAACACCTTTTTGCCAAAGTATAAATTGTGATCTTAGTGAAATACTGTATTTTTCTGGCAACGCCTTGTTTTGCACACCATTTTATCTGCCATATAAACACTGGTTATAGCGAGACTGACCAAAATGTGCAAATCTGCAATTTGTTTTGTCTTGTTTTCACCAAAAGAATGGGAGCCAGCAAGAAGTACTCCACAAAGACATACATAAATATTTGCCAGGGTTTGTCAAAAAGGAGATCAAAGCAAGACATTGAACTAAACCAGTCTGTATGTAACTGACCTATCCACACTCCTCTTAAAACAAGAAGAGTTGAATCCACAACAGTTTGAGAACAACTCTTGCAATCATTTTCTGACATGCAGCTAAAAATGATTTCAATAGCAATGTATATGAGTGGTTTAATATCCAGTGTCTTCACTGTTGTTCTGTGCATGCTATAGTTTGATAAATGTCCCACAGGCCGTTGTCAGCTCTACCACTTTGCCTGTCTCCTATCCTACTTAACACTGTCATATTGTTACAGTGTCAATACTTCTTCCAATGAGCGATTCCCTATTGTGCCCAAGTATAACAACAGGAAAGGCGTTTTGACTGAGAAGCAACGTGACACACTTAAATCTTTCCAGTCTCTGTTAAAATGAGTAGGGGGCTTATTCATCACTGCTTCACCATAACAAAAACGTACACAAACCCTTTTAAGTTAATTACTCGCATAGAGCAGAGGCTGACACAGAAACAGAAAAGACTGGGTCAGGAGGCCTCAGGGCAATCACTGTCTCCTATGGGGCTTAACAGAAAGAGAGCAAATATGCTCAAAAGAATAGTCTGAGTGTGACAAAGGGCCTATGGATTCAGTCATCAATGGTTAACGAAACTGTATGTAATGTACATATACACATGTACTGCATCATGTGGATCAAAAATGTCATCAACTTGTTCAGATGAAAACATGAACTATTTTGGCTTTAGGGCATTTGCTTTAAATATTCATTTGGTTATATACAGAATGCAATAAGGTCTGTTTTTTCAAGGAAATCCCTCATTAAATCCCTCATCATCAATGTGTACAAGTCATAGTTATGTGTGTTATTGTCTCATATAGTGTACTGTGACATACCTATATCTCCCTGAAGACTGGTGTCATGGGACGTCCGGCTGGATGCAGTGGACTCTCCATCACTGGGCCAAACTGGTCCTGATCTATGCCCCCCAGAACCCATCACCAACACCTGCCCTTGAAGCTGTTTTAACCTTTTCTGTGACAGTGGTGTGGGGGGGCTGCTACTCTCAAACGACTGCTGAGAATTCTGGGAGGGCGAGCGGCTTTTGTCCCGATGGTACATGGGGTACGCTGTGGTGGGACTGGGGGACACATGGCTGGACTGTCCCGAAGAAAAGTCCTCCTCGCTGGATGTTAAGTTCTCATTGGAGCTGCAGTCTGGTGTGTAGCCTTCTTCAAAACTGCCAGGAGAGTAGGAACGCCTTGGCCATGTTAAATTGGCATCATCCTCAATGGTCCTGTCTGTAATGTTGATAACTTTAGTTTCACTTTCTGGCATCATTCCACCAACATAAACAGTAGTATAGGGTTGACAGTCAGTTGGCTTTGGACTTGAACTGTCTTTTTGTGATTGCAGGTAAAATTCTTGCTCATTATTCAACCCATCATAATTTCCTTCAGCAGATCCCCTCCTTTGTACAAATTTACTATTCACCTCCTTAGTGGAAGCAGACAGGTTAACTGGCAGCGAATTTAGCGATCTCTTCCTTTCCATTTGCATAGCCTGACTACCAAGTGTGCTTATTTTATCCGAAACATCTTTATCATTCACTTTTACCAGTCCTTTTTCATGGTGATACTCCATGTTGACATAAAATGGCTTTTCAGGGCCTCCTGCTACTGCCAGACCTCTGCTATCTGCACCTGTGTGAGAATTGGCTCTGCGAATTCGCTCAAAGTTGGATCTTATCGCCGCCACAGATCCTGGTCCAGTTGGGATATCTGAAACATCTGTACTGTCTTGTCTCACAGGGGACGCTCTACCTTTGGCCAAATCACTATGAGGATGTGACTTACACCTTGTTGGTTTGTTGATCTTCTTGTCTTGGCCACTGTCTACGCCATTGTCATTCTGCACCACTGGTTTAAATCCCCATCTCTGGCCGTCATATGACTTCTTCTCTTTTGCCAGTAAAGTCTGCAGGTAGATCATACGAAAACGCTCTTTGTTTACTTCCTTCTCCAAGTGCTTGATGGACGACTTGCATTTATCCAGTTCCTGCTCAATCTCACCCATTGAGTTCAGCTCCATACAAGGAGGATCGGACTCAGGGAACTGAGCCCTCCAAGCATCCACAAATCCAACTGGCTCTACCATTTTTATCAGTGTTATTCCAAGCGGCAATCAACCAGTGATGATGATGTTGAACTTGTTCAAATCCAGGCTTGAGTTTAAATGACAAAACTTCAGAACTTCCATTGCTCTGTCAGGATGAAGTGTACAAATGATTGTAGTCCTTTCTGCTTACAAGTATCCACACAAATATCAGTTTAAAGAAAATCCTTGGGAAAAAGTAGAAATCAATGTGGGAAAACGACCAGATCCACGTTTGTGTTGGCAATTCTCAAGAGATACTTGTGTCTTGCTCAGTTGTGACTGTCACCGACTGACTCACAGTCCACTGCTGTCTGAAGTCTACTCCTCGTTCAGTTCAGTCACAGCTCAAATGGGAGGGGCTACATAAACAAAAAGAAGATAACACAAAAAATCTGAGCAAAAACACTAGTTAATCATCCACAAACGAGTTTAGATACCTCGTGTTTCCAATAAAGCACACAATAAAGCGCGTAAAGGACTAGTAAAGGACTAGTATCTTGAGTGTGGTACAAAACCCTATTATCTGCATTTTGCATTCTGAGATTAGATAGCCTACCAATGTCCGTGGGAAACTTACATCTATGGCGAGAAGTGGATGTCTTGGCGTCCATTAGTTTACCAGCAGGTAGACTAGATTAGATAGTGAAATCCCGACGACCCCGTTAATAAAACATATCATAACACTTACCTCGTAATAAAAGTTGCCATATCAAAACGGTGTATGTTGTCCAATCTATGGTGTCGTCGTTGTAAACAACGCAATATGATCTGCGTAGACAGGGTTTCTCAGTTCTGTTGGCCCATTCAGGTTTGCAATGAAAAGTCTGAAGATTAGTAATCATGGGAGTGCATTGTTTTGAAAGAAGTTATTAAGTGCCTCATGTGGAAATGTCGCCATCTGACGGTTCAGAGACAGCGTGGTTGCCAGATAAGAGTCATTACATTCATAATCCAGTAATTTACTCCTAATCCTGTCATCACCACTACCAACAACAACAAGGGCACCAAAATATGGAAAAATACCAGTCTTAAACAAGGTATAAAAACTGAAAAAAAAATATAAATAAATAAATTATAGTGATTTTTGACTGGCCCTGTATCGTTGTGCTCCAGCGCCATCTGCTGGAAATTATTGCAATTTTTCTTTTTTTTGGTGGGTTTTATATTTGCATTTTGCCTAATTTACCAGACATATGTATCTTATGTTTCGGTTTTAAAGAATTCAATTTAACGAAATTATTAAAGTATCCCATAGAAATAGTCCAAATCATGGAAGCAGGGAAGCGTCCATGATCCAAACAAACTTCTTCCGGTTACAGGCTTCTCCGTTTCCATGGGAACATTAGCTCCGTTAGCTTCGTTCGCTGAAAAACGTCAGTGCTTGATCAATCTTTATGTTTAGGCTAATATATGTAGCATGCAATTCTTCGAACGATCTGCTCTCAAACAAGATAGCTGTTTTATCCAATACAGGGTTTGCTAGATCGTGGAGATCAGGGGTGAGTTGGGCTAGCTATCTTTTTGGAGTGGACATATCGTGACAAAATGAGTGAACAACTTAAGTTCATCGTTGACCAGCTAAACAGGGAGCCATTCAAGAAAAACTTGAACCTCATCACATTTGATTCGATCGAGCCAATGCAACTGCTACAGATTTTAAATGATGTTTTGGCTGAAATAGACCCAAAGGTAAACTATTTTGATGAGTTGTAAAGTGAAATTGTTTAGACAAATTGGATAGAAACGTCATGTGTTAGTAAAACCTGTAGCTGACATAATGTTAATAATCATGTTTTATTACTGTAACTAATTATATGTGGCAAGTCAGTTTACAGACATGGCCTATTTTTGGTATTTTACCTGCAGCATGCTATGGACATCCGTGAAGAAATGCCAGAACAGACAACCAAAAGGATGTGTGCGCTTCTGGGGATGCTTAAATACAAGCCACCAGGAAACCTATCTGATGTGTAAGAATTTATGACCATTAATGTTATTCTTATTATTGTATAAATAACAGCCTGTGTGTCATCATTCTCATAGAAGCAGATTCAGACAGGGCTTGGTTACGGGCAGTAAACAAGTGGTCCACCCCATCCTCTTTTGGTTACTGCAGAAGGTCCCTGAGCTGAAGAAACGTGCCTATTTGGCCCGATTTCTTGTTAAATTGGAGATACCAGCTGAATTCTTGCAGGACGATGTCATCAATGAGACTTATCACCAGGTTTGTCAGAGTTAATTGTTACAAACAGGACCTGCCATAAAACACGTACACTTGAAAGCAGAAACTGTTTTGAAACTCATTTGTATGTTTACAGTATGAAGAACTGGTGGAAGGTTTTAAGACCTATCACAAGGAGTGCGAGCAGCTGAGGACATCCGGGTTTTCTACAGCTGAGATTAGAAGGGTATAAAACACATTTAAGATTCTAGATACTGTTTTTAAGACAGATGAAATGGCTTTGGAGTGTTGATCTCCTAAAGTGATGGTTAAAATATAGCAGCTGTAACACTGTACAAAGTAAAAGTTATTAAATGTAATATTGACCCATATTTTCATGTTGTTTACAATGTTTTATCTTTTTCAGCAAATAACCAGTGAGTCCTGACTTTTTATATATTTTTTCTTGAGCAGGACATCAGTGCAATGGAGGAAGAGAAAGACCAGCTGATTAAGCGTGTGGAAAGGCTGAAGAAGAGGGTAAGAGGCCTTTGCTTCTTGTGATGCCTCAAAGTGTTTTGGGATTTACACCTTAACAATGGAGTAATAGGAATGAAAACAGGACCTTGGACATGTGTTCCCACCTTCTTTATTAGACTACATAAGCTTTGAGGTGCTAAGAGTGCTGTCTAATGAGGTGCTGATTTGATAGGTCTTTGCTCTAAGCTCTTGTGAAAAGATGAAATCTGAGTCTGCTGTTAGAGATGTGTGTCTAGCTATTTCAGATGTCCAAGGAATGAGGTTGATCTTCTTCTATGTGCCACCAGGTGGAGTCAGTGTCCAACCATCAGAGGATGCTGGAGCAAGCCAGGCAGCTGAGAGTGGAGAAGGAGAGGGAGGAGGAACTGGCTCATCAGAAACAAGAGCAGAAGAATCAGGTGATTGTAGTTTATTGTTTAAAGTTATAACGGTTTAAATAATATACTAGTAATCTGTTATTCAGAATTATAACAGTGCTTTGTTCTCATACAATTATTGCATAATATAAGTCATAATTTTTTAACTTGTGGCTGTGTTCTTATCAGGGTGTGGAGTGAAGAGGAATGTTGCAGTGTAATTTATGTTTGTAATGAGGTTGTATAGAGACTAAACATTATAACATCTTTTTAAGAGGCAAAGTTAATATAGGCTGTCTAGCTGTATGGGTTTAGTGATGCCTATCTTATCTTCAGAACAGTCCTGACTGAATCAGGACAGACATGGTGTCTTTGCCAGTTGGAAGGTACACAATATCAACAGCCGTGTTAAAGAATCCATTATTACCAGTATGACTGATCTCAATATATAATATAACATAGCAAATAGAATTAATTATTTAGCTAATCGACTAATTGAAAAAAAAAATCTCTAACTAGATGACTACTAAAATAAATGTTAGTTGCAGCAAACTTACCAAAACTACCTGTGATTCTATTTTATGTATTTACTAGCTGTAAACATCTGTAATATTTGATCATATTTTGCCTTATAGCTTTTCCAGGCCGAACAGAGACTCCAGAGGTCCCAGCAGCAGTTGAAGGATTTGCGACAGGCTTCGGCTGATGCCAGTCCAGAAAGTGAGTAATGCCATGGTACACATGTTACTGCAGGTAGGAAAAGTACAAAGGATCAAACTGAGCGATGGGGAGTATCCTGTTAAAAGCTTCTGATCTGCTCAAATGCTCTATTTAAATACACATCTTTGAAGTCCAATAATGGAGCCTGTCTGATGTGAAATTACTCCCCTTATTTCTCTGAGGCTCCAAGAAGGGATTTACACATTTACAGTTCCTAAAATGGATCACATGGGACAGTCTACAAGATTAAAGGCAATTATCATAGTATCTCCTGGTTTATAAAGTGTTCAAATGGATTCATGACACAACTGTGATGATTACATAAGAGCTGCAATAGCGTTGACCAAAAACAAAGCAGATGACATCACTTAAATTGGTTTGACTTTAAAAGCATGTTGTCTTATGCTGCCAGTTTTCCCTAAAACTAAACTTGTTTTTTTTTTGTTTTTTTTTGTTTAATTTGATTGTCCATATAGGCCTAATGAAGAGACTTGAAGAGGAGATCAAGATAAACTCCTATATGGTTTTGGAAAAATTACCTAAGGAGCTTGACAGCATGCGGAGAACAGTGCAGTTTCTTCAGAAAGTAGCATCAGAACCTGCCATGGGCCAAGCAGATGTTCAGGAGCTAGAGGACAAGGTAAAATTACATGACTATTAGTTTAGTTTATGTTTATTTGTTTATTTGTCAGGGACAATGCACATTTATTTGTCAGGGACAATGCACATTACACAAAACATTGAGCTACACAAAGATGTCATATGTTTTGTTCTAGGTTATAGCAAAATTACCATTATGAATCTTCAACCAAATGTTACAGTGTGTTCTTCTTTTTACAGATTAAAGATGTTGATTCAAAAATAAACCAGTTAATAGAGAAGAGGATGATGAGAAATGACCCAATGGATGACAAATTGACTCTATATAGGCAACAGGTAAACACATATCTTAATGTGATATATGAAAGTGGCTTTTATGAACTTTTAAACGTGTTATAATTGTGTTCCATTATCATTATTTTACTCAAGGTTGTATTTTGATTGATTCATGCATGTTTGAGTAATCCTGCATTGTCCTGAAAATTGTTCTAATTGCACTAAACCACAGTACTGTACTTACAAAACACTGACACATCTAGGTCATACACATAGGGTTAAAATGTTCCATGTCGTTTCAACAATACAACATACAATACAACACATAAATTGACATCTGCTGCTTGTTGTAGTGAAATGCCACTGAAGCCTCTGAAGAGGCAGGGCTTATCAGTAAAATATTATGATTATAATATCCAATAGTGCAGTCTACAATGGACAAAATGTCTACAGGTCTGGTCTACAGTTGTGTAGACTTCTTCTTGGAGAGCTTCTTTAACTTGCCATTTACAATATTCAGTATATATAGACATAAACTATGCTGTCTTTCTCTTTTGTTGTGATTACTCAGGCCTCCATAATCATCCGAAAGAAAGAGGCTAAAGCCGAGGAGCTGCAGGAGGCAAGGGAGGAGCTCTCCAATGCAGAGAAAGAGCTCAATCAGAGAGGCGACCATGGAGCAGATGGAGACGGCATGGTCAAAACTGAAGAGGTAAACTAAATAGACTAATAATGAATTCAAGTCCTAGATTGGTTAGTATTGTTGGGCAGACACCTTTTATTAAAAAATACCCCACTTTATAAGCTTGAGTATCTTAAAAGCCCAAGATATAACAAAGTACTGGTACAAAGCAAAGTTTTGTTGCCTTTTTACACCAGAAATTAGCCAAAACAATGTTGAAATAACATGAGGGCAATTAGTGTGATGATTTGATCACAATGCATTTAAATGGGCAGATGGTTTTGCAGTATTGAAGATTTAATTCATACAAATTATCTGGCATACATTGTTCGTAATAACAGATTACAGAAGCCCGTGTTTTACAGAAATGTGCTTATGAGCATTTGCTACACCATTGATCGTGTTGTTCTGGCCCTCCGCTACATGCCTAATAGGGTCCTCGGGGGAAAAAATAATTGCCTATTTCTACTTTCTCCTCCTGTAATTGTTCATAGATGACTAATGACACCCCAATGAGTTTTCAGACCAGGCCATCCCAAAGTGAGGAAACAGAGTGGCTTGTGTTCACACAAGCAGCTAATTCAGATAAAGTCATGATAAAGTGGATGAGTGAAAGGAACTCATGTGTCCGCTAAGCCTCACACCTATCTAGTGATATTGCTGTCCGTCCAACACTCACAACAGCCTAATGCATATATATAACCCTTTGTCAATGGCCAGTAAATAAACAAGCCAATTCTGAACAGTTGAGATAACCCCCGAGTCAACTTCAGAAACGTGTGCACAGACGAATTTTCAAAGCCGTGACAACACAAGATTCTATTTCTGTTCTTATCCAAACACAGGCAAGCTCGCAACCCAAAGTTACTTATCCTTCTTCGTCTCTCCCCCTCGTTCCCATACAAGTCTAAAATTAGATCACAACAGAGAAAGTACAGGACGAGGAACAATATCAGACACACGCTTAGAAAGATGGACTTCTCTCTAATCTTTTGTGTAATCAGACTCTGCAGGCTCATGTTGTAAAACCAACTACCTAACTATTTTTATCATGACAAAGAGGTTTCCAGGTTTTAAGACAGGATGTGGACAGTACAGTATTAGCATAAAATGGAAAGTCTGACTCAATTGTGTACATTTTATACTTCTACAAAATCACTTTTATATGAAAACAGGAACTTTTTTATTTGGATGAAGTTTAAAAACATCTGCCCATCTCTGCTTTAGGGTATGGTCCAATCATTCAAATCATATCACCTCCAATGGATAATTAGTTATGGGCTGCTCTTCTGCACATAGGTGGTGCTCCATGTATAAAATATTTCCAGTGTCATTGTCCTTCTTTTGAGTGAAGGTGGTATATCCTTGGCTCTTAGCTCATGCAGTGTCCTTATTTGTGCAGTATAACTTGGCTATAGGGTAGAATGGAATTGGACTGTTTGTTAGGACAGAGACAGTACTTCAATGGAGTACATGGAAAATGTTTAGTGAAGGCAGCTTATCAAACTCCTCAGTCACGGCCAAAGAGGAGACGATCACTTTATCTGTGATATTTTCCATTCTGCTAGCTATGTGTCACCACATGCCACCCACCAACTGTAGGCTCTCACTCACAGATGACTGCATGTGGACGTCACTGCACGAAACCTGACACCACTGTATCAGACCCCTTTTGCAAAACTATTATATTCAGAATTAAGGCTGGACAATTAATCCAATTTGAATCAATATTCGGCCGGGCTCAGCCCGAAGGAGCGACGTGGGGCCGTCCTCACGTGGGCCCACCACCCGCGGGAGGATCCATATGGGGCCGGTGCAGAGAGATCTGGGCGGCAGTCGACGGCGGGGGCCTCGGCGACCAGATCTCTGGACATGGAGACTAGCTCTGGGGACATGGAATGTCACCTCGCTGGGGGGGAAGGAGCCTGAGCTTGTGCGGGAGGTTGAGCGTTACCGACTAGATATAGTCGGCCTCACCTCCACGCACAGTTTGGGCTCTGGAACCCAACTCCTTGAGAGGGGCTGGACTCTCCATTTCTCTGGCGTTGGCCGCGGGGAGCGGCGGCGGGCTGGTGTGGGCCTGCTCATTGCCCCACAGCTCAGTCGCTGTGTGTTGGAGTTCACCCCGGTGAACGAGAGGGTCGCGTCCCTGCGCCTTCGGTCGGGGACAGGTCTCTCACTGTGGTGTCGGCCTACGGGCCGAACAGCAGTGCAGAGTACCCGGCCTTCTTGGAGTCCTTGGGAGGGGCACTAGACAGTGCACCGACCCGGGACTCCGTTGTTCTCCTGGGGGACTTCAACGCCCACGTGGGCAACGACAGTGACACTTGGAGAGGGGTGATTGGGAGGAACGGCCTCCCTGATCTGAACCCGAGCGGTGTTTTGTTATTGGACTTCTGTGCTAGTCACAGTTTGTCCATAACGAACACCATGTTCGAGCACAAGGGTGTCCATAAGTGCACGTGGCACCAGGACGCCCTAGGCCGGAGGTCGATGATCGACTTTGTCGTCGTGTCATCTGATCTCCGGCCGCGTGTCTTGGACACTCGGGTGAAGAGAGGGGCTGAGCTGTCAACTGATCACCACCTGGTTGTGAGATGGGTTCGCTGGCGGAGGAGGAAGCCGGAAAGACCTGGCAGGCCCAAGCGTGTAGTGAGGGTCTGTTGGGAACGTCTGGCGGAGCCCTCTGTCAGAGGGACCTTCAACTCGCACCTCCGGGAGGACTTCTCCCGGATTCCGGGGGAGGCTGGAGATATGGAGTCCGAGTGGGCTTCATTCTCGGCCTCTATTGTCAATGCAGCTGCTCGGAGCTGTGGGCGTAAGGTCTGTGGTGCCTGTCGCGGCGGCAACCCCAGAACCCGGTGGTGGACACCGGAAGTAAGGGATGCTGTCAAGCTGAAGAAGGAGTCCTATCGGGCCTTGCTGGCTCGGGGGACTCCTGAGGCAGCTGACGGGTACCGGCGGGCCAAGCGTGCTGCAGCCCGTGTGGTCGCGGAGGCAAAAACTCGGAGCTGGGAGGAGTTTCGGGGAGGCCATGGAGAAGGACTATCGGACGGCCTCAAAGAGATTCTGGCAAACCGTCCGGCGCCTCAGGAGGGGAAAGCAGTTCTTCACACCAACACTGTTTACAGTGCGGGGGGAGAGCTGCTGACCTCGACTGGGGACGTTGTCCGGCGGTGGAAGGAATACTTTGAGGATCTCCTCAATCCCACCGTCACGTCCTCCGAGGAGGAGGCCGAGGCTGGGGACTCGGAGGCGGACTCATCCATCACCCTGGCTGAAGTCACTGAGGTGGTTGGAAAGCTCCTTGGTGGCAAGGCTCCGGGGTTGGATGAGATCCGTCCTGAGTACCTTAAGTCTCTGGATGTTGTGGGGCTGTCTTGGCTGACACGCCTCTTCAACATCGCGTGGCGGTCGGGGACAGTACCTCTGGACTGGCAAACCGGGGTGGTGGTCCCTCTGTATAAGAAGGGGGACCGGAGGGTGTGTTCCAACTATAGGGGGATCACACTCCTCAGTCTCCCCGGTAAGGTCTATGCCAGGGTACTGGAGAGGAGAATTCGGCCGATAGTCAAACCTCGGATTCAGGAGGAGCAGTGTGGTTTTCGTCCTGGCCGTGGAACACTGGACCAGCTCTACACTCTCCATCGGGTGCTCGAGGGTTCATGGGAGTTTGCCCAACCAGTCCACATGTGTTTTGTGGATCTGGAGAAGGCATTCGACCGTGTCCCTCGTGGTGTCCTGTGGGGGGTGCTCTGGGAGTATGGGGTCCGGGGCCCTTTGCTAAGGGCTGTCCGGTCCCTGTATGACCGGAGCAGGAGCTGTGTTCGCATTGCCGGCAGTAAGTCAGACCTGTTCCCGGTGCATGTTGGACTCCGCCAGGGCTGCCCTTTGTCACCGGTTCTGTTCATTGTATTTATGGACAGAATTTCTAGGCGCAGTCAGGGGCCGGAGGGGGTCCGGTTTGGGGACCACAGGATTTCATCTCTGCTGTTTGCGGACGATGTTGTTCTGTTGGCTTCATCGAGCCAGGACCTGCAGTGTGCACTGGGGCGGTTTGCAGCCGAGTGTGAAGCGGCTGGGATGAAGATCAGCTCTTCCAAGTCCGAGGCCATGGTTCTCGACCGGAAAAAGGTGGCTTGCCCTCTCCGGGTGGGTGGAGAGTCTTTGCCTCAAGTGGAGGAGTTCAAGTATCTCGGGGTCTTGTTCACGAGTGAGGGAAGGACGGAACGTGAGATTGACAGGCGGATCGGTGCAGCTTCGGCAGTGATGCGGTCGCTGTATCGGACCGTTGTGGTGAAGAGGGAGCTGAGTCGAAAGGCAAAGCTCTCGATTTACCGGTCAGTCTTCGTTCCTACTCTCACCTATGGTCATGAGCTCTGGGTAGTGACCGAAAGGACGAGATCACGGATACAAGCGCTCGAAATGAGTTTCCTCCGCAGGGTGGCTGGGCGCTCCCTTAGAGATAGGGTGAGGAGCTCAGTCACACGGGAGGAGCTCGGAGTAGAGCCGCTGCTCCTCCACGTCGAGAGGAGCCAGTTGAGGTGGCTCGGGCATCTGTTCCGGATGCCTCCTGGGCGCCTCCCTCGGGAGGTGTTCCGGGCATGTCCCACCGGGAGGAGGCCACGGGGAAGACCCAGGACACGCTGGAGGGACTATGTCTCTCGGCTGGCCTGGGAACGCCTCGGGGTCCCCCCGGAGGAGCTGGAGGACGTGTCTGGGGTGAAGGAAGTCTGGGAGTCCCTGCTTAGGCTGCTGCCCCCGCGACCCGGCCCCGGATAAGCGGACGAAAATGGATGGATGGATGGATGAATCAATATTAAGATTCAGTCATTTCTAATTGTTAGTCATGAGTTTGGGTCTTTTTAATGGAGAGGTCTACAGCATTGACTCTCACTTTTCTAAGTTCCACCCGGATACCACCAGATCTAAATTAACTATATAAGATGACTATTCCAGGTTTAATCTAGGGCAAAACCTAATTCTGTCTATCATTTCCACTCTACTTTTAAACAAGATACTATCCAGAGTACAAAAAGTGGATAAAATTGACTCAAAATTAGGGAAACCCACATACTGAGAGCTATCCAAGGTGGAAGGTACATGCATCATAGTTTGAGAAGCGCTGGTCTACAATACAGTCAGCGCTCTGTCAGCCAAAGCCTGTGGTTCAGACTTTGGAAGAAGAAATCTGACTATTGATTGCATTGATTAACATATATTGTTTATGTTCAGGAAATTCATATGCCTGGTCTTAAAGATGACCACAAGAGACTAGATACCCAAGTCAATGGCCTACAGACAGACAATGTGTTTTGGATAAGCACATGACCTGTTATCAGTGGCTCCTAACTGGTATCATTGTGGCAAATGGAGAGCACTTTACTCCAATGTTTCAGCTAAATTGGATATTGACATTTTCATGAGACAAGATAAACGAAAGATTGAGGAAAAGCAACATTTAAAGAATGAACGGGTAATCCCATTAAAAGTCTAGCCTGAAACGGTCAGTAAATTAACACATTTTCCAGTTGCATTTGGTTGTGTTAGTTTGTGAAACATTTTGAGAAAGTCTTTGTGTAGCAATGAGTCAAGCATTAACGCTTGAACTAGAACATCATGACTAGTCAGCCACTAAGTTTACATGTACACTTGGCACCAACACTTTGCAGCTATAATAAAAGTCATTATCATACATAAAACCTATAGACTGGATAAAAAGGTTATATATTGTTATGCAACTTATTTTTTAATATTTCAAATAAATACATTGTGTTTTTTTTTTTTTTGTTTGTTGTTTACAATTTGTGAAATTTAGTAGAACAATGTAAATAAAATGTCAGTATCAGTAAATATTAGTCATCACCACAGCAGGAAGACAAATATATTGGATAACAGTATTGGCTAAAAAAAAAAATCAATATCATACCATCCCTAAACAAGAATAGAGATAAGGAGATACACACTCGAAACAGGTCACATGCTGTTATATTTGTGTTTGAGCACACATGATGATGTCACAAAACAAATAACAGTGTAGTGTCAAACAACACAGAAGCATCGTAGAGCAAAGATGAACAGTCACTTAAAAGAGTACTAGAAGGAAGGAAGTCACTGAGACCTGACAAGTTTCAGACACATTGCAAAACTTGTGGAAGGGGAGAAAAATCTTTTGAAAAATGTGATGGTAATACATTTTTTTTTATTATTATTACAGAAAATTTCTATTCCTGCAACCCCTGTCCAATAGTAGCCTACTACTGAACCTCCTGCCTAGACCACAATTGCACTACTGTCTGTGTTAATGCCCCTCTCTGTTTGCCCTTGGTATCCCAAAATACACAAAAGAATAGACGTGCACATTTGGAGCTTCACTCTCCCCCTCTCTGCCATTTCTGGACCAGTTCTCTAGTGCTGGATTCATTTATAGCTTCTCTTTATTGTCTATGAGCTGTGTCCCAGTAGACCAGAGCAGGTTCAGGGCGGGGAGGAGCAGGTATCCACTTAAAGTTTCTCCACCACATGTTGTTGTTTGAAGTTTGATGCTGGCTGTGAACCTGTCTCTGGCTGTGAACCTCTCTGGCACGAATACCATTGCCACCAGGCTTCCCCTTTAATCCCACCACAGATTTTAAACTTCATTTTGTCCCAGGGCTTTTTATAGCGACTCAGCTGTCTGCAATAACATTTCATCACACAGCATTGAACACATTTTAGATTTGTTTCACTTCCTATGGGTGAAATTAAGTAGCTTATTTGCCTTGTGGAAAGTAGAGTGGAAAATATAAAAGGATGATATAAAAACACATGATTTTCCAATAACACACAAGTCCAGCTAAACTAAGAGGCAAGTAGAAAAGTGAACAAGAAAAGTGAGTGGACAAGCAACAACCAATCTCTTAGTATATTGAAGTATAGATGAATTATTTTCTGGTTTTGACAGGATCAATAGACAGGGGCCAGTTGTTCTGTATTGTTATTAATTCACATGTCCAGCAGACCTACTAAAAGTGTAATCAATACAGACTGTGATTAGTGATTTTGTAACATCTCTGTTTGTGTTGGCCTTCAGATGCAAAGGCTGGTGACAAGGCTGCGCAGCAAAGGAACCCAATACAAGATGCGGCAGAAGGAGTTGGCAGAGATACAGACAGAGTATGGAGTCCTGCAGCGGACAGAGGACATTCTGACAAAAGAACACGAGGCTGTCCAGAAGAGACTGGTAAGCCATTCTGCATACACTGAAGACAGCCTTACTCTGTTGACATTAGGGTGGAGTGAGTTTTTCATGTATGTTAAAGGAACTGTATGTAGCTTTCATTCTTTTTTGTGTGTGTTTGTTTTAACGTTCACTTAAAAAAAAGTACTATACTATAACCTACTGCTATAATTGCAACTGAACCTGTACCCACAGATAGAACAGAGGACATGTTTTTGGTTAATGGACAGCTTATCCCGCAGCAGCAGAGGCTGCAGATTCTGGCTTTTATGTAGTGAAGATTCCAATAAGAAAGAGTCCTTTTAGATTTAAACCTATTGGATTTTAGTCTTGAAACTGGCAACCCAAATGAAAGACTCATGATTGGATAATTCTTTAGACAACTTTTGTAATTAAGAGTAAATCATCGTTACAATTGTAAGGGCTATATTTGATTTGAACATGTCAACCTCATGTCTGGTTACACAGTTAGGTCACGTTTATGGAATTTGGAATAAAGATCTTCCATACAGTTCCTTGAGAGCGGACCTATTATGCAAATCAACTTAACGTGTTATAGTCATTTCCCCTTCATCATTTACTCACTCGAAATTGTATTTGGAGTGATTCGGGAATGTTTGAGCAATCTTTAATTAGTTATTTTCAAGAGGCCATCAACTCCCATTGACTCAAACTCCCAGCTATCAATATACACCCACTGCTCTTACTTTGTCCTCCAATTTTATTTTCTTAATTGGTGATATGTGAAGGGTTCTGCAGCTCCATGCAGTAATTTTAGTATTAATTGGATTAAAAATGGCCCACAGCAACTCACTAGAGTGATGCGCAGAAGGTGTTGACAACTTTGCAACTTTGTAGTGATGATGTTTTATGGTGACGTCAGCTCCTATTGGGCATCACAGTTTTCTAGTGCGGAAGTTAGATTTGTTTGAGTTGTTTCAGATGAATATTTCAATTTAAAATTTCAAAATTATAACAGTGATCCTTTGTTGCCTTCGATTACAATTATATAGCAGGCACAGGTGCAATAGCTCTTAGATTAGAACAAAGTAATAATTTTACCATCTAATCACCACTGTGGAAAATAATTCAAGAAAAGAAAAAACACCCTAGTTGTCATAGTACTGCCAACAAACTATAGAACTGTCAATAGCCTGATACATTGTCCTTATCTAAACTTAGTTGTAATTTCTTATCTTCATGTAGAATACCCAGGACAACTCTACTATGGTTCCTTACACTTCAGAAACAACTATTTATTCCCTCACTTCTCCTTTCTAATAAGATATGTTTCATTTGGCCTGCCAATTTGTGCCAGCTGTGTGTTAGCAGAGAAGTGCTAAAAGCTTCCTGGAAATGACTTGACACCTCTGTGCTGCCCCTGCACCTGACGCACTGCTCGGTGGAGTGACGCAGAGTGGACAAGCTGCTATTTCTGAGGCTGCATCTGCTCCTCCTTTTCAGACCACGCTATTAAGATTTAATATGGAGTTAATTTGTATTTGTATCATAGTACAAATTCGTATTGGTGGACCCTACAAAAGTCTAGTGTTTAGGTTCACTGTGTACGTTTTCTGCTTGTGGTGGCACTGGTGGGGCTCATAAATAAAATGAAAAAAATTCTTACCGTCAGCGATGTCACCTCTCTACAGATCTGACCTGTAAACTTGCCTGATGGCGGCGCCTGCTTGTCTCCATGGAGATAGATAAGATCAACAACACTATACTGTGAGACAGTCAAGGCAATGCAATAACAGCTCTATGGAGACAAGGAGGTTGCATAATTTTACACAGTGCACCTTTAATGTTGATGCATCAGGAAAAATATACATTTATACATTAAAACAGCAAATTTCTTTGTCTCAAGGAAACTGTAGAAGCTGAAAGGGGGATTGCTGGCTACAGCAACACACAAGAAGAACTGGAGCGAGTGTCTGCCATTAAAAGTGAACTGGATGAGAAGAAAGGCAGAACACTGGACGACATGTCAGAAATGGTGATTTCATTATCTCCTTTTATTAATTATGGGTTTTTGGTGGGGTATACAGTTGATCAAAGGGCTGGCGCATACAGACATACAAGTCAAGAAACTGACTACAAACTCACTAAAGAATGTACATGTATCTTTTTTTTTTTCTTTTTTTTTTTTTTTAAATGAAGGTGGACAAAAATGATTAACTCATTATTTGTCCTAATGACAATATTCACACAGTATTATGGCAGTCCATCAGAAATGTAATAAAAGAGGTCTGAGGTTGAACTATTGCACAAAATGTATTTTGCTCGCATCCAAAACAATAGGCATATTATATATATTATTTAGCATACATAATCAATAAAATACAATATAACTAATATCATTGTATTATCCGGCCTTGGATAAGCGAAGATAGATGAATGGGTCATACCACCACAGCCAAGGCCTGTAAAACACCTAACTTTAACTTTTTTTTCCCTCTTTATTGTGATTTGTTGTATTTAACTGTCAGACTCATTATATTCTTTTTACAGGTGAAGAAATTAAACTACATGATTGCTGAAAAAAAGGAAGCTTTGTCTCCACTCATAAAAGAGCTGAGATCACTGAGAGAGCAAAGCCACGTATGTACCTCAACTAATACACAGTACCCTTACAACAAATGTCTACAAATATGTATGCTCTGATTTAAGCTATTTTAAAGTGACATTAGCAAAATCTTGATTAACAGAAATGCAGATGATACGATTTTATGATTTTAAATAGCCCTGTTTGCCATGTACATATACAGGCATAAAATCTTAACAGTCCTGTCTTATCATAAACTATCAGTCAATGATTAAGTGGAGCGGTGATTTACTGTGGTTGCAAACCTGCTGAGATGTATTTATAGCTCATTAAGAATAATTTAGATGGTCCATAAATACAATTCGCTATGGGAAAGCCCCTTACTGCATTGGGCTAAACGGGAGGATTACTTTTTCCTACACATGTTCCCAGAATCCGTCTCACTGGTGCAATGTCTCCTGACGAAGAGCCGCAGTATGGAGACATAAATAGACTTTTTAAGTGGCTGTTTGAACACCAGCTGTGTGTCTTTGCTATGTAAAAGAACGATAAGAGTCTTACAAGGATTTCTTTTTGACATATAGAACTTGAATGATGACTTATCCAGATTTGAAGGTTGATTCTGTCTGCCTATAAGTGATGGGCACACATTACAATTATTTTAAACAAAAAATGTGTTTTGCTATATCAATATTTATTAACTTAGTAACTTCTCAAAATAGACACACTACAGAAACGTTTGTATATGTTTCTATGAGCAGAAGGTACGGCAGGAGTACGAGGACAAGAAGGCCCAGTATGAACGCACTGCTGCTGGTCTCGAGAGCAACTGTTCAAAGCTGGAGCAGGTATAGATAAAGACAGTCAAATATTATATGATTCTATGTTTCTATCTCTGTGAGCTTTCATTTTCACTTCAGGATGTTAAAGTGCTGAAAGAGGAGACGGCGCAAGATGAGAACCGCTACCATTATCTCAACAGCCAGTCCCAGGTATACTGATTAGATCTGGAACTATTTTAGGATCTTTTCGATTTTCTCTTCCTAAAGTTACATGGCACTCCAGATCCACAACACAAACATGCAGTACTGTAGAGAGTGAAACGATTTTAGAAGTATAGTTCAGTGCATTGTGTAACTTGTTATGACATTACATTTATCTTAGAGTTATTCCATTATTGGTGGTTTTATTGTTCCATCCATCCATCCATCCATTTTCTTCCGCTTATCCAAGGTCGGGTCGCGGGGGCAATAGTCTGAGGAGGGCCTCCCAGACTTCCCTCTCCACACACACTTCCTCCAGCTCCTCCGGGGGGACCCCGAGACGTTCCCAGACCAGCCGAGAGACATAGTCCCTCCAGTGTGTCCTGGGTCTTCCCCGTGGCCTCCTCCCAGTGGGACATGCTCAGAACACCTCCCGAGGGAGGCGTCCAGGAGGCATCCGAAACAGATGCCCGAGCCACCTCAACTGGCTCCTCTCAACGTGGAGGAGCAGCGGCTCTACTCTGAGCTCCTCCCGTGTGACTGAGCTCCTCACGCTATCTCTAAGGGAGCGCCCAGCCACCCTGCGGAGGAAACTCATTTCGAGCGCTTGTATCCACGATCTTGTCCTTTCGGTCATTACCCAGAGCTCATGACCATAGGTGAGAGTAGGAACGAAGACTGACCGGTAAATCGAGAGCTTCACCTTTCGACTCAGCTCTCTCTTCACCACAACGGTCCGATACAGCGACCGCATCACTGCCGACGCTGCACCGATCCGCCTGTCAATCTCACGCTCCATCCTCCCCTCACTCGTGAACCCCGAGATACTTGAACTCCTCCACTTGAGGCAAGGACTCTCCACCCACCCGGAGAGGGCAAGCCACCTTTTTCCGGTCGAGAACCATGGCCTCGGATTTGGAGGAGCTGATCTTCATCCCAGCCGCTTCACACTGCAAACCGCCCCAGTGCACATTGCAGGTCCTGGTTTGATGGAGCCAACAGGACAACATCATCTGCGAACAGCAGAGATGAGATCCTGTGGTCCCCAAACCGGACCCCCTCCGACCCCTGACTGGCGCCTAGAAATTCTGTCCATAAACACAACTGAACAGACACCGGTGTGACCCAACAGGGCAGACCCCTGGTGGAGTCCAGACATGCACCCTGGGACACAGGTCTGACTTACTGCCCGGCACGAGTGGACAGAGACACCACCATCCAGGAGCCTCCAGCTTGCAGTGACTTCCGAGGAGGTCTCAGCCTTCCTTCCACCCCCGGACAACATCCCCAGTTGAGGTCAACAGCTCTCCCCCCGCACTGTAAACAGTGTTGGTGAAGAACTGCTTCCCCCTCCTGAGGCGCCGGATGGTTTGCCAGAATTTCTTTGAGGCCGTCCGATAGTCCTCCTCCATGGCCTCCCCGAACTCCTCCCAGCTCCGAGTTTTTGCCTCCGCGACCGCACGGGCTGCAGCACGCTTGGCCTGCCGGTACCCGTCAGCTGCCTCAGGAGTCCCATGAGCCAACAAGGCCCGATAGGACTCCTTCTTCAGCCTGACGGCATCCCTTACTTCCGGTGTCCACCACCGGGTTCGGGGATTGCCGCCGCTACAGGCACCACAGACCTTACGCCCACAGCTACGAGTGGCCGCATTGACAATGGAGGCTGAGAACATAGCCCACTCGGACTCCATGTCTCCAGCCTCCCCGGAATCTGGGAGAAGTCCTTCCGGAGGTGTGAGTTGAAGATCCCCCTGACAGAGGGCTCTGCCAGACGTTCCCAACAGACCCTCACAATACGCTTGGGCCTGCCAGGTCTTTCCGGCTTCCTTCTCTGCCAGCGGATCCAACTCACAACCAGGTGGTGATCGGTTGACAGCTCAGCCCCTCTCTTCACCCGAGTGTCCAAGACACACGGCCGGAGATCAGATGACACGACGACAAAGTCGATCATCGACCTCCGACCTAGGGTGTCCTGGTGCCACGTGCACTTATGGACACCCTTGTGCTCGAACATGGTGTTTGTTATGGACAAACTGTGACTAGCACAGAAGTCCAATAACAAAACACCGCTCGGGTTCAGATCGGGGAGGCCGTTCCTCCCGATCACCCCTCTCCAAGTGTCACTATTGTTGCCCACGTGGGCGTTGAAGTCCCCCAGTAGAACAACTGAAAACATCCATTCTTGCAGCTAAAATCTAACCTGTAACTTGGCCTGATGGTGACACATGCCATATGTCCATGTCATACTGTGGAATAGTCCCAGCAAAGCAATAACCTCCCCATTGAATCAAGCTTGTCATGGACTGTCTAAAAGAAAAGTTACATGGAGCACCTTTAAAATACATTGCTAATTTGAATTCAGGACCAAATGTCATGTGACCCGTCCTTTAATGAATCTGATTTGTGGGGGACTAGATAATAATATGCATGTTTCTACATTTAAATGGAAGATGCAAAATGCATGCCATTTTGGGAAGTAGTCTGAATGGTAAATGACCCTCTCCTTTACCCACTTCACCCGCTGTGTTTGTGTCTTCTGCAGATCATTGAGATGCAAATTCAGCGGGCGGCCGATGAGGTGAAGGCCTACGTGTCCTCAGACCCACAGGAGAGGAAGAAGACGGTCAGGTGAGCTCAGGCTTAACATCTGCTCCCGGGACACTGCCACACTCGAGGGTCAAATTACATCAGTCAGTTACATGTCTGACTCTAACTGTAGTCCTTATCATCCATCTTATGTGTTATGATGTTAAAACCACAACACAAGTTAGGAGTGTTTAAGTGAAGATGAGCAGAGGAGCCAAATATTTACTCAAGTAAGATTGCTTGTTATGTAAAGGGAACCGTAAATAAAAATATCTAAATCAAATCATTTCCAACCACCTACATCCTTGGAAAGTATTAAAAAATGTAAATGTCCTCTTACAAAATTACCATATGCATAATTTTACCTAAAATGTATACAACACAAAAAATCTAATCATCAGCTTCATAATTTTCAGGGTTATTGGTAATGTATCTGTGCGTTCCATTGACCAATATAGATCATACTGTAGTTAGAAATACTGCTTAACTGAGTTTGAAAGTATACTTGCCTGCAATGAATCAGTCAATAGTATTGTCTCTAATGAGTGAGAAGAGAAACACTGTGATCGACAATTTAATCCATATAGTATCTTTCTCATTTATTTTAAAGGGAAATGTACTTGAAAAACATCTCAGAGCAGGAGCTACTTGGAAAGGTAAATAAACCCCAACTATATAATCAATTTTTGGCCCATGTGGCTATAGAAATGCTACTGTATATTATTGTTACTTTTTCTTTGAACTACAGAAATTGCGTGAAAAGCAGAAGATGATACGAGAAAACCACAGCCACAACATGGAGCAGATGAAGATGTGGAAGGATCTGGAGTTACTGATAGAATGTAAAAAACAGTGCTTCATTAAGGCTCAAAACCAGGCATCTATTGGCAAGGTCATTCAAGAAGGAGGAGAGGACAGGCTTGTATTGTAAACTTAGATTGTTCACGCACACTACAATCAAATATGGTCACTTCAGTTTTTATTTATAGATACATACATTTTGCCATTTCATTTTGAGATTTTAGGAGACTCTTTTCTTTCAAAAATCACCATTAATACATGACAAACTTTAAGGTAAAGAAAGGCAGATATTTTTATCTCTTTGTCAATGCTCCCACTTCTTTAAATTGGTCTAGGTTGGTTTCTTGGAGGTGTTGCTAAACATTTTTTTTCAATAACCCACTGGACATGTGGTTTTGACACATCTTTAAAGACACACTTTCAGGCAAAGTGTTCAAAGATAACAGATTACAAAGTGGAGCTCTTACGGTCAGGTGGCAGTCAACTATTTCTGGCAACAGACCCTTTGACCTTGGAGAGATCATCATATCAATTTTGGAGATCATATGATTAACTTATGATGTACTTAAACTTAAAAACTATATAATCTCAACACTGTTTTGGTATGTTACTTACTAAAAATGTAGCTTGTTTTTATTTTGCTATTAAATTGAATATTGTTGGCTTATATCTGGATTTTCTTCAACTGTGACACACTTACTTAAATGCACTACACTTATTGACTCTTGAATATATTGTGTGCTTCCATATAGATTTTAACTACATCTTCAGTTGAGTTTGACCTTTTCACCCTCACATAAATTTAACCCAGTGCTGACAGACTATATTAGCAGGTCTTGTGCCAAAAGGATCGGGTGAACATTGTGAAAACAACTTGATGTAGCTAGAGCCATGTCATTATGTCAGTCACCTTATGCTTCTTCGAGCAGCATTGTGTTAACAGATGATCCGTGTCTGTCCTATGAAGAATCTAACAAAGATTCTCTACAGTGAGGGCCAGGGGGGCGGGTATTGACCCTGTGGCCTCTACCAACCCATAACTTTTACTTTTGTTATGGAGATGAAGTTATTTACTTCAAAGTCACACTTCCAGTCAGGTCTCATTGATCATTCTGTTTCTTTTTCATAGATTGCATTTTCTTCTATGATATTTCAGAGACAATTCAATCTCCATTTTGTGCTTTATTTAGTACATGAGCTCACCCATACTGTGTAAAAACAGGGGCCCTTCTAGTAAGTGTAAATGAGGTAGTAATAGAATAAGACATGGGGCTTTTGTAATGGGATGCCTGCAGTCAGGGAGATATGTGGGCGTGGGTAGCTACATGTGTTGAAGGCTGTTCTGGTTATTAGAAGTGGGTTATATTATACAATAGGATCATAATTCAGTACAGTGGAATAATATGCTTATTTATAAAGGCCTCTGGGCATTTGTGATGGGCTATTATTTGCTTTGACTGTAAGCAGGTCTTTCTTATGTGAAAATTTAAAAAGCCTGAAACTGCTATAACAACCATAGAGAAGCGAAACTTGTACGGGGAGACAACAAGCACATGGCATATCATCTACCAGAAAAGTTGCACAGTGTACATGTAAACACTAAGAACTGTCTCAAGAATAAAGTAGACAAATGTAGCCCGTGAACAGTTTTTGGATGGGCACAGTGATACTACACTTTTCAAAAACTAAAAATAAACGTTTATAAGAGCAGGTTGTGTTTTATTATAGTTTTTCCTTTTTAATGGAAGTTGGCTCTCATTTAGTATTAATTATTATTACAAGCTCGAGGTCCACTGTACAGCTGGGGAGCGAGAAGCCGGTTGACTTCCTGTATATTTGGCGTCTCCACAGTTTGAACGTATCTGACGCAGCTCGACCAATGGTGTGAGTCCACATTCAGAGCAGGGAAGAGGGAGAGCACCGAGCTTTGATAAGCCACACTGCCAGAGCCGTGTTGAGCCACAGAGAGCAGCTGCGCCACGGTGAGGCAGGCCACGGCACCGGGTGAATGCGGTCCTACGCTCGGGACTCTGCCGCAGACTCTTCCCCTCCATTTTTGGACGCAAAAAAGCGGACCATTAACGCCTTTTTCTCTTTGAAATCCAGCGGGTGGCAGAGGGACGTATATTTGTCTGTAGGTTGTATTCATCGAAAGCAGGTTGAGTGAATGCACAGCCCTCAGTTGGCAAACTCTGAAACCCCATACAGTATTGATTGATTTAAGACAGCGGAGGTTGTTGGTTTTTGGATAACGTTGTGTGGGAAGCAGCCGTCTGCCCGTTCGCCATGGAGAACGCACACACGAAGAGTGTGGAAGAAGTTTACAGTTATTTCTGCGTCAATGAAAGCACAGGACTTTCTCTGGAGGAGGTGAAGCGACAAAAGGAGAAATGGGGCCTGAATGGTATGACACTTATTTATGTTTTGAATAGAGAGTTTACAGTAAAATAAAGACCCTCTTGTCTTGTCTTAATCAGAGGAGCAGCAGGTCGACAGTGTTGCATAGTGTTTACATAAGACCAGAGGCATGTTTGTATTAGAATCTTTCTCCACTGTAAATCTCTCATTGGAACAAGAGCTAAATAATCCAAACCTGGTCTCTTAGAAACCCAGGCAGAGCACTACACTATCATTCAAGCAAGTTCTGTAAATGTGTCTTGTCATGGCTCGTGTGCGCGTGGAGGTGGATGTGAGCAAAAAGTCACCCTCTGTGACTGGCTGTGGACAGTCACCTGGCTGACGTCAGAGCAGGGATCCCACGTTCTACACAGAAACAGCTTAATCATTACCCAAAGCACGTGTTTTTATTCTGGCACGGCTGCTACACGTTTAACATTGAGAGAGTTGTGCACACAAAAGGACCATGCACATTTTAATGGCCATTACAGTCTTGAGACTTCTAAACGTCTTGGAGGATTAACGTCTTCTGCAGACAATACATTAACAGTTTGAAATGATGACAATAGAAATGCGTTTGCTTTACATTTTTATCACACCAAAGCTCTCAAAGCTCTACTATAGTCCCGATTCATTCACTCTAGATACACAAGTTGTGTGAAGTGTCTTGCTCAAGGACATTGGCACGAGCGGGTATTGAGCTCTCAGCCTTCATGTTGGAAGGATATCCATGAGTTTTAGAATGATTAAATTTAGGCTTGTTGTCACAGTGATTTAACACAATGTCCTACTGACAGTGTATTGAATACTTTGAATATGTATTTAGTTACAGAATACTGAAAGTGGTGCATTTTGAAGCCTAAATTACGTTATCAAATACCGTAATGCATTCCTTTGATTAAAGAAATAGTATTGTGAATACCACCAAAATTAAAGGGTAACTGCCGAAATACAATACATATTTTTGGTACATGTATTCAGTTACTTCCCAGCACTGTCTATTGAATTGGGGAAAAAAGTAGGAAGCTAAAACCCTTAAACAACCACTAAACTGCACTGCCGCTCTGACAAAGGCAACAATCATGACTTTGTCTTAACTAAGGCTGTTAATGGGACAATAGAACAGTAAGGTCCCTCATGGTCTTCACAACACCCCAAAGCCTCTTCAGAGTGTCTGCATGATTCCAGCAACATAACAGTTTCAGTTAAAAGTATATACACCTGAGCAGAAACGTCAGTGCCAGGATTCCTGTGCACACTTGTCCTCTGCTGTTTCACTTAGAATTTTCTCAATGGAGATTAGGAAACATTGCACCAGTGTCTAATAGAGTAACACGTTCCTCTTGATAAGTGTCACCTCACAGTCCCCTTGTTGGCTGTTACCTAACATAGTTTACAATTGGACATCCTGGTGGTAACAGGGCGACCTCAGTGCCTGGAGACCAGACAGGCATTTGACAGAGAGCATAGTATAACAGAGTAACACTACTCTTACAGCTTAATCTCTCTTGTCCCAGGCTTAAACAGCTGTTTTTATATTAATAACACCTGAGAGGTCACACAGGCCATGATCACTCCACTGCCACACTCTTTGACCTCAGCTTCTACTGGACTTTGCCATACAAATATAGGGACACTTAAATCTCAATGGTTATGTGTGTTCCTATGATGCCAATCCCAATGCCTGTTATAATATAATTTTCTTCAAAAACCAAAAAATGGCAACAAATTCATTATTTCTGATCACTCTACGAAAAGAAACAATCATAACTGTAACACGAGAAGCCATTAGAAATACTATTACATTCCTATTGTACAATCAGATGATGTAATAGGTTCCAATGAAACGAAACTGAAAACTCATAAATGTGTAACCTTGTCATTATTTGTCAGGGATTGGCTCTCTAAACTTCCCAGATTAATCATATGCAGCGTTAAACCCCGTTCATTTGAAAACAATTACGCTATTGGAGTTGAATAATGGCACCACTTTCTGAAGCTGTGATAAAAGTATTTCCCTTTTATTTATATCTGCTGACACTGACAGAAAAGATGTTGAAGCTCAAAACAACAAATCTGCAGTCTGACAGTTCAATAGCCTATTCCACCATAGAATTCTGACATACCTCCACCACAATTTTAAAGGTGTAGTGGAGGGTCCATCAAATGTTTTGCTCCATGGAGATGTTATTGGTTGTCTGGAATGTTTCACAGTATGGTATTAAACTTTTTTTTATCTGTACAGAGGCAACCCTGCTCACAGTCAGAATGCCTGTTTTTCTAGTTATTTTTGAGCTATAAATCCACCTGTAATTGAATAAATATAAGGTCGAGCTGTTTAATATCATACTGTAGAACATTCCAGGCAGAGCAATGGCATATCCATAGAAACAAGCAGGTGACAGACCCCCAACCAAAAAGTTACACAGTGCACCTTTAAACTATGGCCTGTCTAGAATGTTGTTGTAAAGTGAACAATAATGCTGGCAAAATTTCACAACAGCTTAAGTAAACTAGATAAAGTTGGCTATCAAATCTACACACCATTGATTTGTGGTTTGAAAATGAAAAAAATTACAACATTATCAGTAAACGGCATATATATTAAGTTGGCTATCAATTCCGCAAACCATTGATTTGTGGTTTTCATCCTCTCCCTGTGTGTTCATTTTCAGGAAACAGGAACGGTATTTTAAATGATTCACGCACATGTCTCATTTTGTCTTTTTCTGTGTTTTTCCTGTCTCTACTCGTGCCTACGCAGAATTACCGGCAGAAGAGGGTAAGTCTTGACAGTTAGATTATCATTATCATTATCTTGTGTATTTGGTCATTTACCGGCTCTATCCTCTTCAGGGAAATCTTTATGGGAGCTCGTCCTTGAACAGTTTGAAGACTTGCTTGTACGGATTCTGCTATTGGCTGCTTGCATATCTTTTGTAAGTATATTCTTTCAATGTGTATTACAATGTGCATAGATGTGACGCCATAAAGACTTTGATTTTTAATACACTGTAGTCTCTTTTGCAATAAATCAGCCTCCACACCTAGGTTTTCAGTGCTGATAATTTCACACTTTTTATATGCAAATAGACAGCTTTTTTGATTTGCTAAAACCCTGAAAGTCACTCATGCTGTTTATTGGCTATCTCCTTTAGAATTTTATGTTCACTACAGACTCACAAACCTCAACCACATGTGGAGTCTGCAACCAAACCTGTCTTTTACTTTCAGTTTGCATAAGGTGTGGCCGTCTATCCAAACAAGATTTAAAGAACTTGCATAGATAAGGCGTGCCTACATGAATACAACTGCCTCAGATTGGGGTAAAGGGTTAAATAAGTATTCATAAATGTGTCTAAAGAATGAATGCATAGTCTCATTATGCTTCCGTTGTAGGGAGTATTATACCTCTCATGTCATAGGCCAAGATAACAAAGACTAAACTGGCAGTGTGCAATTTTAGTTATTATGTTTCTTTTGTATTACTCCTCTTTTTAATGGCTAATTATGTTGATTTTTGAATGCATATTTCTATTACATTGCTCTTCTTGAACTTTGCATTGCAACACTGGAATATCCCCATTGTGGAACAAATAAAAGTTCTAGCTCTAATAGGCACAGATATTGACCTCAAAACATGCAACACTTCTTCTCATGTGACTGAGGGCCATTGATATAATAGTAGTAGTTGTTTGCTACGTAATGTCTGCTTCCTGTGTTTTTTCTTATTCTAGTCTGATCATGTTCTCTACAAACAAACCCAACAGACTTGAGTTCAATCTACTTTACAGAAGGCAATCTCAGGACAAACAGTTGCTTCCTATAAATAGTGGTGTACTTCCATTTCTGACTGACACAAAGTTTATGTGGATGCACAATTGCACATGGATTACTTTTGAGCCCGTAGTCATGAATGGCAGGGGACACTTTATACAGCACATAGCATGGAAGTGTGAACGTCTTCAGTTTGTGTAACACGCATTAGCTGGGGTCAGGTGGTCGTATATTACAGTGTACGATTAGAGGCTAAACAGCTGAGTGCCGTCTGAGGAATGGCGATGACAGCCACAGTAGCATTGAGTTGCTGTCGCCATGTGCCAAGTAAGAAGTTTATGTTGACAAGCTGCTCAGCCCAAGATCAGTGGACACTGGATACATTTCAAAGAGTGAAATAGAAGAAATGGTGGTATGGCTAATGGGATAAAGGTGTTAATTAGCCCTGAACAAAATATTGATTATTGTATATAAATGTAAACTGATAGGATATCCATTTTGCCTGAAACTGCATATTATAAACTATGGTTGTGCAATAGGCCTATCTCAACCAATTTAAATGATAATATTGAAACTACTTTATGCCACTGACACAATAATAATAATAATGCAAAGTAATCCTAGTAACCCATTTAAAATAGACGGTATCATTAAAAAAGCCAGCGCTGCGACAAGTAAATAGAAGAGTGAACTGCTCATTATGTTTACTATACAGCCTAAATCTTATTGTATTTATTATAATTATATATATAATTATTGTATATGTAACACCCAAAATATAGAAAATGTACATACAATAAATATTGAGCCCCAAAATATACAGCTCAAAAAAATTTACACTTTGAAAACACATCAGATCTCAATGTGAAAAAATATGCTGGATATCTTTATAAATATGGACAGGGCAATGTCTTAGGAACAGAAGGATGCTACCTCTTTTAATGGAAATAAAACTTTCAGCCTACAGAGGGGTTAATGTTATAGACGCCCTAAAAATCAAAGTAAAAGAAGGAGGTGGTAGGCCAACATTTAATTTCTGCAACTCTAGATGCTTCTCAATGTTTTGTGTGGCCCCCGTGTGCTTGTATGCATGTTTGACAATGTCATGGCATGTTCCTCATGACAGGACGGCTGGTGTCTTGTGCGATGTCCTCTCAGATCTAGGTAAGGGCATCACTGAACTCCTGTAGAGTCTGAGGAGCAACCTAGCAGCGGGATGGACCCAAACATAATATCACAGAGGTGTTCTAACGGTTTTTAAGTCAGGTGATGGGCCATTCAATTATATTAATCCCTTCATCCTCCAGATACCGCCTGCTTACTCTTGCCACATGAGGCCGAGCATTGTCGTGCATCAGGAGGAACCGAGGACCTAAATCTCCTTGCAAGAGCACATCCTTATGTGCCATCCTGGAGAAGTTGGACAATCTGTGCAAATTCTGTAGGGTTAAGGAATAGCCTCATACTCCCAGTAGTGATAATCACATAATCACACAAAGCCAGTACTAGTGGAAAACCAGCCAAAAAAGACCCAAGAGGGAGAAACTTACGCAATTCTTGCAGTTCTAGCTTTACATATATTGATAAATCCTTATAGTAATTATCAGGACAGGAATACTGTGGAGTTAATCAAATTCCAATTCAATGGTTTAAAATTATCATCTTGGTTTCTTCCAGGTGCTCTGGTTTCTCCTACCACTAAATAAATCCATGCATTATGCACAAGGCTACATTCATGTAATTGTCAAATATTTTATGTTCAATGTTGCTTGTGCATAAATACAATAGGGTTTTACAAATAACAAGAAAATCACACAGTAATGACTTGAAGCGTCTGGTGGCCCTTCAAGCTCAAATGTCCCTCTGAAGACCAGTAGAATAACCAGTATAATCTGAAGACCAGTAGAATAACAGATGGCAGACTCTGTGATAAGCGGCCCCTGAGAGAGGCCTGGTATGTACAGCACGATCAGGTGATACCGAGGTGTCATTGGCTGCTGTCTGACAGAGCTGCTCCGCGCCACTCAACACCAAATACGGGCCCTCAACCCACTGTGGGAGGGTCTGCCCACTCAGATGCCCCCGCCCACCTCTCTCTGCATTTCACCATGTAACACCAGTGATACCAGGATAAAGGAGTTATCAGCAGGTTTTAAGATAGGTGAAAACTTCCAGCTAGTTTGGTGTAATCTAGCTGTAGGTGCACTATGTATTTTTCTGGTGGAGGGTCTGCACCTGTGTGTGTCTTTGCTTGGTAAATTCCGTTATAGGGTATTAAGTGTATCTCTATGAAGACAAACTGGTGACCTCAATAGGCAAAGTTACAGGTCAGTGGAGAAGTATGTTTGAGCAATAAATACACCCCAGAACATTCCAGACAAAAAAAAAGAAGAAGTTGCATAATGGCTCGCTGAAAGGCTCAGCAACTCTAGCTACACACAACTGCAAACAAGTGAGCTCTACGTTAAACATTATATTTGCTGCTTCTGTGATTCATTCATATCTCTATGTAAAAAGAGGAAAGAGAGAATATGAGACATGTGAGACAATATCTGATACAAAATTAAATTAAATTGTTGTGAAAGCTCAACACCTGCATAAATTATGAGAGCTATTTTCCAAAAAAGAGCCTCTGGGACAATGTTATCACCATTGAAATAATAATGTCTGGTGATTGGCTGTAGTGGAAAAAACATTAACAACTGGGATGTGAACTGAATTAATAGCCTGATGCTTGGGTTGTAATATCTATCTCTGTATATTAATAAGAGTGTTTGGGGGTAAGATTGCTTGATAACACATGGAAAGTAAGACATGACTACAATCCATCTTTTTTGTTCCATGTTTCTCATTCAAGGTATTTCAATAAAAAGCAGATTTTGACCACTGAACAACAGTTGTTGTGTTATTTTGCAAGTGTAATTTGTACGATAATCTCTTCTAATGTAACCAGATCTAATTACACTAATTGCATTTGCAGCCATAAATATGTGTTTACAGTAGGGCCCCATTGACAAACTGTTACTCCCTCTCATATATATTGCCTTTGGCCCCTGACACAGCTGAATGCTTAAGACCCACTGAGGTTAATGACTTCATTTCATTATAGGATGTTAGCAAAATCAAGCAGTTGTTCAGAAGAAAGTTTTATTGAGGAGTAAAGTTTAATAGATGTTCAAGGCAGTAGAATAGATGGAGCAGCCTTTATAATAACAGGGCTTTGAGATCGGCACTAATGCGTCACTCTCTGAAATAGAAAGTTTCATTTAGATTTATTGCAGATAAGCCTGATAATTCTTTACAGAAGCTGACAAACTGGAAGGAAACATGTGGAAATATTGCATTTTTGATTATAGAAAGATGTTTACACAGAATTGGCTCATTATACATTTGGTTTTGCTTCATATTGATATAGCAGTTGATCTGAACAATACAGAATTTGGGCTTTTCCTGTGTACAGCTTGTAGTTTCTGTACTAGAATTGGTATTGATATTTGCAATTGTTTCATGAGGAATTTTGAACTCTCAACCTAATCTTGGGTGTTTTTGTTTGTGTTTGTTTTTAGGTTTTAGCCTGGTTCGAGGAGGGAGAAGAAACCATCACAGCATTTGTGGAGCCTTTTGTAATTTTACTCATTCTAATAGCTAATGCCATCGTTGGTGTATGGCAGGTAAGACATAGTGGGTTGGACATTTAATTCACAATTCAATTTTAGACAGTTTTGTCTAACTGTCACGGTTATATTACAACATGAGGCAAATGAAAATATGAAATGCCTTGTTTAATACCTCTGTTGGAGGATCTGCCACTTGCCCGAGTGTTACACATTATGGCCGTGTGTCTCCACCTTGTCCCCACAGAGATGGGTTTAATGCCATTCTGTGGAACATTCCTGGCAAGGCTATAACCTCTCTTTGGGGACAAGCAGGTGACAAACCCTGGACCTGAAAAGTAACACCAATAGGGCACCTTTAAATAGTAATATTTGCAGAGTAATGGGACAGTAGATATTTGGAAAAGAAAGTGTAGAAACAAATTTATACTTCACCCATTTGAAACCAAAATTTTGTTTCATTAAGATAAAATTCATGAAGTCAAAATGATCCATATTCAGTTACGCATCCCCCATCCACTCCTGAAACGGAAGCACCCAAATCTCTCATGTGTAGACAGCAATGAGGCTGTATTAGTTTATACTCTCACCGTTGTCAGTTTATTCAGGACAAATGTTGGCATTAAAAGATCATTTTGTCCCACAGGAACGTAATGCTGAGGATGCCATTGAAGCACTAAAGGAATACGAGCCAGAGATGGGTAAAGTCTATCGTCAGGACAGGAAGACAGTGCAGCGAATCAAAGCCAGAGACATTGTACCTGGAGACATCGTGGAGGTGGCTGGTAGGTCTGAACTATTATATTATAAAGCCTCATTATGGTATTGGCAACCCGTTACTGAAATACTAAATCCATCTTCATTACATAGTGAAAGCAATATGAGCTCTTAAGTAGCCGGAGAATTAAAATTGTTTATTTTTGACAGCAGTCTTTGTGGGAGTTGTGAGTAGGAGTTTTAATTTTGAACAGAGCAGTGATTCTCAACACTGAGTGAGATTGAAATATTTTTGGTGGATTACTGACCACAAATTAATTATATAATTTTTTTTTACTTTTTATAATTTTATTATTTAATAAAAAGCTATTCAATTATTTTTGAAAGGTGACAGAACTCTCATTATCTGTGTGGTTATTGAGTTGTCCACTTTAAACAGACAATGCCAATCTCTCTATGGTCACAGATCACATTTAGCACAAGTTGAAACCTCCCCCGTCTCCCATGAGCCTTTGTGGCAGTGAGTCACCCCGAACGACCGGTATATTTTCAGATGTTCTTATTAACCCATTGTCTCAAAGGGCTAGGCTCAAATGTTATTAGTATTAACGCCCCATTTACTGCTTGTCCATAATCGTCCACACTGGTTCTGTGTCTAGGGCAGTTTTTAATGTTTGCAGTAGGTTGCCTGTGATGACATATATAAGGTGTATGGTTACTTTGAATTGTCATGATTGCAGATGAATTGATTCATGCATTGTTTTACTTGCATGACTAATTTGGTAACTATATACAAAGGCACATCTCATACTTGGAAGTTTATTTTAGAGCCCCAATGATATGTTGGTCCATCCTGACATGTCCTTTACCGTTTCTCATTAATTTAAGTTATAAACCACTTTCTGTCAGTTGTTGCCTTAGTTCATTGTCTATTAAAGGTGATAAAGCACATTTCAAATTGTTTAGTGTGAAGCACTTCAAACATGAGGGTGCTCCTGGTGGGGCTCTGCAGCCAAATCTTTCTCCATTTTAACCCATCCCTGATGGACTGCCAAAATATCATCTGGGTATTGTTATTGTGAGACTATCCCAAAACTATACACATTCATTTAGGTTAACGTTGCTAGATGTATTCATTGATTAATTTTAAACTCTTTAGTTTTACCCACTCTGAGTTTGTCATTTCTATACCTATTATAATGTATTCATTATTTTAATTGCTTGTTTACTTACTGAACTAACTTGGCATATAGACCCCTGGTTGATTTGTCTGTGACAGCAGCTTAATATAAGTGACATTGAGAGGTTTTGTTTGTGCATTGCTACATGTGACACTGTGACCGGGATTGGTTTAAAGCAGGTGTAACAACAGCAGCTCCAGTTCAACGTAGCTCTGCGTTAGCAGTGCTACATGCTTTTAGCTCCCGAACAAACTTAATGAGGACTAAAAGTACTTGTACCTTTGTCCTCTGTGAGGATCCAGCATGGAGTTACAATAAAATCTGTTTTTCAAATGAGTAACAAAAATAAAGCCTTGGATGAGTCCTGGGTAGATGGATAACTCCGTGGCTCACTGATACTGATACAGTTGATACTGAGACAGCTCTACTCAGGCAGAGCCTCCAGTAGTTCTCCACACATCTGACATGTAACATAGCCTGCTGGTGCTACTTGCTTGTCTCCACTCTCCATGGATATTGATACATTTAATGTCATACTCTCTGGATGATTCCAGAGAAAGCATTAATATTTCCATGGAGATGGTGTGGGTGGCACATTTTACACAAGAAAATGTTTCAGAAGACAATTACTGATGTCCACTGGCTGCATGTCATTCACATACGTTTGAAGCATCCTCCTCATGTGTAGTGCTCACATAACTTTCCAGGATGCATGTGTTGGTATGCCGTTATCACAAACCTCCGTTTAACCCTGAGGCACTAACGCGATGCAGTCTTTTCGGTGCATAGTGGGGGCTCTTATTTTTAGCCCTCATACGCTGTTTAGATTATGGCATGTCGTATTTATAAGCAACAGTGACAGTCGTGCAGATGACAGGTGCCGGATCCCACCCTGAGTGCCCCCCCTCCCATCAGGCACAGGGGAACAGTGGAGCTGCTCTGACGTAGGACAGGGCAATGCTGGAATCCTCTGTCACCTTGACAAGTACAAACGCAATGTCAAGTGCAATTGTGCTGTTACGGAAGACTTGCACCAAGCTTTTTCTCCAGGCTGAAAGACGTGTTCCCACTGATGCATAAAATCACTGAACATACTCTGCCCTAGTAATATCCGCTATAATGTCTGTTTATCTTTGATTGTGTAGTAGAGCAGAATATTGGGCCATTGATGTACTTTGTGCTTTTGCTGCAATACACACATTTACATTGAATAAACAGGTTTTTTTCACTTAGTATATATTTCATTTAGTGCCCTAGCAATTAAAGAAACTATAGTAAATGACCCCTATTGTCCACTTTCCTCTCCCATAGTCTATAAGTCATTCCAGTTACATTATCGCTCAGCGTGTTTCTAGTTATTCTTTTTACTATTATGATCAATAATCAATCGTTTTTAATTTTTCTGTATGACCTGTACACAAAGTTAGATGTTAATATGTTTTTATCTTTAAGGTGACATGAGTTACATTAGGGTTGGCACAATCTAAACAAACTCTCTTGTCTTTTTCCTTTCCATATAAGGCCCCATCTACAGTAATTGGGCAATTAATGGTGCATGCTAGATGTTAACATTTGGCAGATCTTTGAAAAGCTCCATCTTGTGCTTGTTTTATAATGTAGTTCTTTCAAAGATGTGATATGTACCGGATGAAAATGTCTGGAATCTTCACCAAGAAATGTGTGAATCCGCTAACTATAACACCAACTATGCGTGACAAGCAGAGCCGTGCATGTTCCACTTATTTATGTGGAGAAAAAGAAACTTGTGACTTTCCTATAAATGTCCAGGCCCTGATTTGTTATTTATGGAGACCTCAATAAATGTCTCATAAAACTTAGCATCAGCAGATCTAAGCTGAGACATGCAGCAAAGTGGGTAGAAAAAGTCTCTTCCCATCTTCACAGTCTACTTTACACATTTCCAGTTCATCATACTTAAGTTTCTACAGTATGGTTTGGTAAACTATCAAAAAGCAACTGTTACCATGGAAATTTGCCATCTTTTTTGGCAGCAGTGCAAAACGCCTATAGATATTTTAGCTAAAACAATGTGAAAAGTAAACAAAAGACCTATGGAACAACCAATAAACTGCTGGGTTACTGTTGATGAATACATTTATCACTCTATTGACTTTATTCCACCTCGCCCACTTTTGCTTCTTAATCCTAAACTGCATTTTTGTTGTGGTGGCACTTCCCATTCATTTCAATGGAGAATTTGAGGAGTTTTGCCACTAAAATATGATGTATTTTGCATCTTAAAATCTCCAATGGTTCAACATTAGGCTAATGAGAAATCCTATAATCCCAAGATCTGTTGCAAATCAGGGGTGGGCCAATACCTCAACAAAGGCGTTGACTTGGTCTTGAACTGCTGTTTATTTTGTTTCTTAATATTTTTACAGAATCTCGATCATAAGTCTAAATGAAATGCAGAGAGTAAAAACTGATTTCATAGCATTCAATGGGGTCTAAGGCAGTGACAGAAATAATTCACTTTGAACTACTTGCATAAGCGTTCTATTCTGTAAAACCAGGATTGTTGACGGCCCCATTTGCATTTTCCCTCACACTCCTCTGTTTGTCTGTCCCGTCCATTTGTCCTTGAAATGCAGTCTTTGGTTGCCATGGCAATGGTGCAGTATGCCGGGACAATACAAGTGAGTACTCGGTAGGCCTCCTTTTAAAATGTGCCAGTGTAAATAAATACTCCCCCAGTAGTTCTTTAGTAGTTACATAAATGATTATACAGTGGTTAGTTTATAGTGCAGTTTTATATTTTGCATAACTTCACTTTGTGTAACACCTCCCTTTGTTCTTATTATTGTGTATGTAAAATGTGTATGTAAAATGTCAGTTAAACCTGACCTTGTATTTGTTCTCCTTTTTGTTAACTAATGTTTCCTTGTAAATAACCCAACCTTTTTTTTTTTTTTTTTTTTTTACTTTTGGCACCTTTTTCTTGCCACCTGCTCTTGGTTTTGTAATTCCAAGTGAATCTCTCCACTGTGAAATCAATACTCTTCTAATCCTAGACTAATAATCCTGTGTGGTAATTATCAGTATGCATATTCCATCCAGTCTAAATATAATGTTTTCCGGAGGGCTCCACAATGACCCTGGCCTGCAGAGGAGTGGGGATGACGCAGGCGGTGCAGAGCTGTGGTGGAGGACGTGTAGCTGTTGTAGTGAGACGAATGGCCCAAAGCTAATCTGTATTTCAGCCATGCCTCCTACTCAACACTCACCTACATCCGGTTAACAGCAAATCTTTCTAAAGTACACGGAGCTCCTGTCATTTAAAGGGGCATCGCATAACTTTTTGGTGGAGGATCCGTCATATGCTTTTCTCCATAGAGATGTTATTGCTTTGCCTGGAATGTTCCACAGTATGACATTAAGCACCACTACCTTACATTTATTAAATTCTGTTTTTTATAGCTCAAAATAACCTAGATAAACAGGCATTCTGACTGTGATTGAGCTTTGGTCTCCATGAGGATAGAAAGGCTTAATACCATACTACGAAACATTCCAGACAAAACGGTCACATCTCCATGAAGAAAAGCATTTGATGGACCCCCATCCAAAAAGTTATACAGTGCACCTTTAAGAACATGAACATGAACATTATAGTGCTAAAACAAAACATCATTTACAAGTTACCATAACATGAACATTATTGCATAGCTTCTCTCATAGAAATACATTTTAGAATTACAAGTGCATTTGATGTACATGAACAACTTCGCAAGTAAGCAAGCTTTCTGGGCTTTCAGTTACATCTATCGATTCTGCAGAAAAGTTGGCAACTCCTACAGATTATGCCTTGCTCTCCATATGGTCTTCTATTTTTCACAATACTTTTCAAAAGTATAGTCATAGTA